GAACAAGTGGAGTATAAAATTGAAGAGCTGACAGGATGCTTCCATCAGGTTTTTAAATGCTGTTAATATGGAATGTGTCTTACAGCATAAACCCAAAATTCTACTTTTGTTTTGCTTCTTCTGTATGTTTTCTAAAACGGACATGTCGGTTTGGCTGTATAGTCTTATCATATTTAGCTTTGATTTAAATCCTGTCTTTTCTCAGCTGTGCTTGCTAATGGAATCATTCATGCTTTTTATACAGTTGATCTAATAATATTTTCTTCACTGCTCTCTGGCATTATTTTTTACTTTGTAGAAATCACGGCAAAACTGGCAATATAAATTGAGTCTGCATTTTAATGATATTGATGGTGATTTTCTTGTGTATTTGTATAAAGCAGGGTTTTTTTCCTCTCTTTGTACCGTGGTCACTTCAATATACTGTGGTATGAGCATGTGGATGACTGCGATTTGTAAGATTCTCTAATAAGGCTTTTCCAATATTACTTTGTTACTTAAACTGCTTTGCTCAGGAAAGCCATCAACCGAATGTCCATGAGATAACTTCATTTTTCTATTTTCTTTTTATAAACAAGATTCTCAAGTAACTTGTGAACTGGTCTGTTGGAAGTCCCTGTTCCATACAAGGGGAACAATGGCTTACCACTGGAAAGCACTGGGAGATGGTAAGTCAGTGACTTCCAGCATTTTCTGATTTGTAGATTTCTCAGATTTCAAATGAGGTTTCTTTTAGTGACAACATATTTTTTTCTGGATACACTCAGAAAGAGGACAAATTATGTACTGTGACAATGACCATCTCTGTTCCATTTTATATTTGCACAACCTTCATGATGACTTTAATGAGTGTGGGGGGAAGAGGCATCAGTGTGAGCCTTAGAGTGAATATTGTTCTTATTTATACAGAGGATCCAAGATGACAACTGCTACCTCAGGAGAGCGAAGCCCTTTACAGAGGCAACAGATGCAGTTCAGCATTGCTCTTTCTGTTGTGCTTCAACTCTGACCACAGAAGAGTGAGCTCTTGGGACAGAAAGTGCTCTGTTTACACTCAGACCTTAGCATTTTTCCTAAGGGAACCAATTATAGTGGTGTTTTTTGTGATATGGGCACACACCCATTATGAATTGGCTTGCACCCACCAAGTCATTTTGCACGGGCCGTGGAACATCCATCAGATGGCAATGATTCCCGTTTGTGTGCAATGTTAAGGAAATGTAGATCATTACCAGCAGAATAATGAATTCCATAGAATTGTTCCATTGTGCAATTATATGAACTATGCTAAGACAAAGTGCAGTTTCTCAATAATTCCCTCCTTTTTTTTTTTAAGCCACAGGAATGATAGATTATTAATCATGATTAATACTCAGTTACAGTGAATTATAGTGGAGCAGTGCCTGGAAATCCCAGTCTGCTTGGTAAACTCATTTTCTTGCATAATAGAAAACTTACCTTGCATTTAAGAGAATCCAAATAGATGAAGATGAAAGCAGTGGAACCACCCATTTCATGTAATTAAAAGAGAAATTTAATAGATACATACATTCCTAGTCCAACATTATTGAACTTTTTTTGATACTGTACAAGCATAGTAGGAGAAATACAATTGCAAACATTTTGATTGTTCTTGTACTTTGCTTTCTTCCTGAGAACCAAAGTCTTCTAGAGCTCAGCTGTAGCAGTCATCCTGAATCCCTAAGCAGCACTGGAGTTAAGGCAGAGTTGTGCATTGTCTTGACATTTGGAAGATGTTGGTTGTTCTAGTTGATGATTCCTTGAGAGAGTATGGATCATTAAAATGCTTTAGGAAGCAGAGGAAAGTTAAATGAGGTAATATAATATGCTCCATCCCTGTATTTGGGGGTGTACATAGGATAATTTTTTTCAACCCCTCATTTAGTGTGCATGAAGAGTAAGGCACCAGAACGACATTATAGAAGGGCTCATGGTCAGTCAGAGTATTTAATTTCCTTAGAGATAACTCATCTTTAATCTTCTGGAAGCACCCTGAGGCCTTTCCCGTATTTAGCAAACGTCAATTTCCCTAAAGTTTACATCCCAATCTGTGTCGTGTTCTGAGAACAGGGAAAGGAGGTGAAAAGACATGTTCGCCTCAAGGGTGAGACTGCTGGGTCATTTCCAAGAGGAGATCCTTAGAGAGCATCCCATGGGCCCCTCCTGTAGAAGGCAGCAATACAGCTCTTCGTTATTATCTCTGTCTCTCTCTTCCCCCAGCCAATCTGTCGGCGCATCCCTGGTGCTGAGGAGGGAGAGGCGTCGTGTCGGAGCGATGTTCCCGTTTGCAAAATGGTAACTTCTATTTGTTGTTCTGAGGAGCTGGTTTCACACACTGACATCTCCTGGGAGCACAGCTGAGTCCAACATGTTCCGAACAGCCATCCACCCAAACGCCTCCTACTCAGGCGCTCAGACCTTCCTTCCCAGTAAACAGAAAATACAGAGACAGCCTTAAATTGTTCCAAATGTTTCTGTTTCACTGGAATGTCTACCCATGTTCAAATCTGATAAATGGGTATTTTTCTGCCCTAGGAATTCAGCTTAGTGCGGGAATAGGATGGCTGTTCAAAGAGGAAACCCAGTTTCTGGAATAGTTAATGGAAAAGTCGGACTGACTTTCTCTGGTGTCAATATATTAAAATGTTCCTATATGCCATGAAAACACAATGTTGCAATTAACAATTTTATGACAGAAAAGAAAGACATCATAAGCTGCTGCTTCTGCTGCATTGTATGAAATAACACATTTTTCAAGGTCTCATCGTTCATACAGAAGGTCTCTAAAAATCTACTTCCTACAGCAGGAAACTGAGCAATGTGCCATTGTGCATTTTAGGCAAGGAAACATTGCTGCATTATTTAAAATACCACCATTCACTACAACAGCAGCCCTCAATACATCCCACAGTGTGATTCCATTCATGTTGTTGGGACATCCTGTCTAGCCATGGCTATGGCCATGACCACTGTAATTCTGTCTTTGACCTTACCCATGCCCTATAGTAGACATGACCTCAGTATCCCAACCTATGGGTTACAGCATGATAAAAAAAGATCTTTTGAAGAATAGTTCCTAGGAAAACAGTTGAAAAATACTCCACATTTGCGCCAGTAGTCCTTAATTCAGCTCCACAGCTGAATGGAGACCTCAGTTGCTAAGGGTGATGCCTGTGTGGTCAATGCTTATTACCTTACAGGCTCAAAACTGAAACAAGACTTCCTGGCTTGCAAGACAAGCTCTCCATCTCTGGGTCCCTCACTGATAATATTTTGGGGTATGCCACCCCCTGGTTTCCTGTCTTGGGTTCCTTCCAGCCATTGCACATGAAATCTCCCCTTTTGGGCAGCTGCATCAAGAGCAAGGACTACCAAGGGGCATCTCTATTGGTACTTCTCTAAGAAATGGTATGTAGGCCAAATTTTCCCTTTTCTGGCTCTTAAGTGCTTTGGGTCAGTGTTTTTATTCATACGCACCCACATACCACTTTGCCAAGGATAACCTGGGATAGAAAGGATAGAATGATCCAAGGCTCTGTGGCCTGATACGTTGCACTGAGAGTTTAGTTATGAGGCTCAGTATTGGAAAATTTAAGATCAAAAATCTGTGGGAGAATGGAAACTGGACCATTAAAACTCAACATTGCCCAGCCCAGGGTGGGTGTCCCAAACCAGTGCCTCCTAAATGGCAGTGGGTAGTTCTTTGGGGTTTGGATCCAGACCCAGCCAGCAGGCTGGCACTGGTGTGGCAGTGAGGGACTAATGATCTTGTTCCTTCAGGCAGCTGCAGCTCATAATGTGACATTACAATTAAAATAAACAAAACTCTTCTACTCCCCACCAGTGTCCTGGAAGGAGCACAGAAACAAGGCGTGCTGGGCTGCTCCGTGCATTGCTGAGGTTTGTTGTCCTCTGGTCACTAAGCTTTGTAAGACACCTCTACAAAAATTGTTAGTGGTTCTAATTACTACTTTTTGGTGGTTTGAGGACATAAATTTTCCAGAAGTGGGGGGCAGAAAAGGTAATTCATATGAATTTTTTTCTCATTAAATATTTGTCTATCGGGATTACTCTGATTAATAAACAAGAGGCTTCAATGATTTCAGCCATGCTCAGCATTCCAGCCTCTTGCTCAGGACCTTTCCTTGGGATTCCCCAGGCACTTCTGCACTGGGATCAGTGGGGTTTTGGGGAGAAATTTTAGCGCCTGTGCAAAGCAAACACTGTTTCTGGTGTTAGTCTATAAATATCTAATATGAGCAAGCAACTCTGTGTTTTCCTCTGTGCTTAATACCCGTGTTCTGCACCCTCAGGCAGCTGAATTTTCGTGCTTTTGTTGTCATATGTGTAATGTGCAATATGTATTTCCTTTTTATTAATCAGACCTGCCATCAGAAAAGAGATAGAGGGAGTTTGAAAGCACAACCAGGATAGATACTGTCATTTTGTAATCCTTTGTGCACAGGTGGAGATGCCTGTTTGCACTAAAATAGGTGGCAATATTCTGCTGCTTGCAGAAATCTCAAAATGAAAATAAAGCAAAGGAGTTTACTGGCTATCCACGGTGTAATTCTCCTCTGGAAGCATGCAGTCAATTCCCATTTAGGCTAATTACACTTAAGGAGCCCTTTCCTATAACTAATGAACAATAGGCATAACCTGTTATTACATAACCATAGGCACACACATTAATACACTGTCGAATGGCACTACCCTGTGAAAATGCTTCCTCCACAAAACTCACTGGAGATTTTAGCAACATTTGCTGTAATTACCACTAGCATGGTTTCTAATTCATTTAATTTTCTTTTCTGCCTAAACTGAGCATATAAGTGTGTTGTAAGAGATTGAATAAATAAATTTTTAATTATAAAATGATGCTATATCATAAATTATTTATAACAACCAACAATGTGTAGTACATGTTTAGGTATGAATCCATTAGGAAGATGAAGTAATATATATATCAGTCCTAAAATAATGTCCTAATTTGTCCTGTGTTTATGAATGGGGAAACCTGTGATTAAAGGAATTACAGGTTTATAAAAGCCTTGGATTGACTGTGGGTAAAGCATGTGGCACGCTTGGCACTTAGGAATTCTGTTGTCATCTATGGCAAAGGAGAAGACCCTTTTTTGTCCTTTATTGGTTTCAGCAGCTTGTGAAATCACACAACCGGAACGGTACAGATCTACAGACCTCCAGGGAGGGAGCAGCAAGATGCTCATAGTCCTCATTGGCAAAATCTCTGGTTATTATTAATATCTTTAAAAAAAAAAATCTGTTTTGTAATCTGTCAGTTCACTTTCAGGTAGTTTTGAGGAATTTTATCAATTGTTTTCCTATTAGCGATAGCAGACTTCAGAAATTTCCATGGCAAGTTCCAGGCATTCCCCAGTCTCATGGCAGGACTCTAAAAGGCTGCAATCAATGTCACAGTCACAGTTGCAGTCGTTGTTGCCGTGGTCTTCCTCAGAGGTCTGGTAATATCTATTGGATGGACAACAGGTATCTGTCAGCCAATGTTCACAGGTATCAGGCAGCATTACAAGAAAGTCCCAAAATTGGCAGAACAAGCAGGCCAGGATAAGAGTTGCACATTCATCTAAGAGAGAGGAAAAGCAGGGAGACATGAGAACAAGGGCATGCTGGATTACCCAGGTTTAGGCTTGTGTGGCTACACAGAAATGAGATGCAAAGGAGCACACAGGGTGGGCTAAAAATACATTGATGATAACTGCTTCCATAGAGACAAATGAAGTTTGTTTCCTCTGATATTTGTGTCTGGAAAAACAACAGCTGCATGAAAATAATTTGAATGGAAACATTCTGTGGCAGTGGAGTTCAGAGGAATAAGTACTTTGAACCAAATTTGTGGTTGGACTTGATGATCTTAAAGGTCATTTTCAACCTAAATTATTCCATGATTCTATACTCTTAAAGTGTTGGGGCTGTAAGATTCAGGCATCAGGGATGCTCTGAGAGGGGGTTGCAGCCTCCCAGGAGTTTGGAAATGCTGCTGGTTGGTGATGCCACATGTTCTGCCTGACCAACTGTCCTGGTTTCAGCTGGGATAGAGTTAATTTTAGCTGGTACAGTGCTGTGTACAGGATTTAGGATAAGAAAAATGTTGATATAGGACACTGATTTTTTAGTTGTTGATAAGCAGAGTTTATACCAAGTCAAGGACTTTTCAGCTTTGCATGCCCAGGCAGCAAGGAGGCTGGAGAGGCACAAGAAGCTGGGAGGGGACACAGCTGGGACAGCTGACCCCAACTGGCCAGAGGGATGTTCCAGTCCATATGGCATCATACTCAGTATATAAATTAGGGAGAAAATGATCAGGAGTTGCTGCTCAGGAACTGGCTGGACATTGGTCAGCAAGTGGGGAGCAACTGCCATGTGTATCACTTGCTTTGTATATTCTAATTCTTTTTTCATTATTATTTTTCTTCTTTTCTGTCCCATTAAACTGCATAGTGAGCTCTCTCACTTGTACCCTTCTGATTCCCCCATTCTGCAGCAGGGCAGTGAATGAACCGCTGTGTGGGGCTGAGTTGCAGCCTGGGATAAAACCATGACACGAGCACATGTGACACCAGAGTTTATTTTCATGTTCACAAGAATTCACACTAAAAATGCTTAATGACTAGCCAAGGACAGGGAGGTAGAGCAGGTCTGGAGAAGAGCATTCACAGAGGGCAGCGTGATCATCAAGTCTCAGCCCAGGGTCCTTCTACCTCCCCACCGAAATGGGGTTCTCACCTTTTCATTCACAAACGTCAATTTTTCGAAGGAGGAAAAATTTGGAAAATAGGTCACCTAGGTTGTGTGTCTGTAGCCAGTGAATATTCCTGAAAACTTGATCACCATGAGTAAAAGCTTCATGTTATGTTTGTTCCCCTGAAAAATCAACAAATTGACTCCCCACTGCTCAGCCTCCAGCATCTGGGGAGGCTGCTCGGGTGCAGCAGGTGTGAGATTCCGACTGCGTGAATCCAGTTGGAGCGCAAAGACCCAGACCTTTCCTTTTTTTTTCTTTTTTTCCCCCCCCCCTTCTTGTTTTTGGAAGGGAAAAATGCCTTCAACAATATGAATGTCTTTTCATTGGTTCTTTCGGGAAAGCATATGGTTATAACCACATTTCTTGCCCTAGGATGACTAACTGTGAACTCATTCAACTGCATTGGTTCTGTTGTGGCATTTTCTATCTCACGTAACATTAAGTTCACTGCCAGGAAGTTTCCGGAATTATGCTCTTTTTTTTTTTTTTTTAAAAAAAAAGCTTTCTTGCTGAAAAACAAAATTTAAAAAAATCCAGCTTCTTTATTTAAAAAAATAAGCAGTTAAGGCAGGTAGCAAGAATAAATAGCATATGATTGAACTTCTTTCTAAGTGTCATATCATCACCAATGTTATCAATTTTAATACTTATTTAAATATGTCAAGATCTATTTATGTTCAGACAGGCACAACTAACTTCTAAGTCAGTTCTGTCGAATAAGAATGACTAGATTTCGGTGATACTTGGTAAATTCATGCTTATGTTTTTTTTCAAACTAAATGAACTGAAATAATTATAAAATTGAAACATTTAATAAGATGACACCGCTGCATTTAATTGTATGAAATTTACACTGTAGAAAATGTAATGATTTTATTCAGCAGTCCTTGGTGTAATTAAGACTATTCTTTTTAGATCTTTATGTTTATGAAATTTCCTTCCTATACATAGATGTGAGAGACAGAATTCAAAATTATGTATTAATTAAGGATTTTTCAATTTTTTTTTCCCTCTCCAAAGATCTGTTTTCTAATAACAGGTTTTTTCCCTTGAATGTGTTAACCATAATGGTGCTTATGTAATCTGGAGAGAATAGATATGATTCTTAGGGCTTCATCCAGGAAAGAGAGCACAAAAAAAGCACAAAATTTTAATAATAAAGTAATGTTTCAGCACAGACTCTGTGTTGTGCAGTAAAGATGCTTTTAAATTCCCATCAGAGCACACACCATGAACTGTGATAATGGATGTAACACATTTCGAAAAATCTGCATGTGTGAGGCTTTTTGGTCCTGTTTTAAGTGGGGTAATGTATATAAATAATAGATATTAGCAATTAAACATCCATTCCTATGCATTCATTTATATATTTGAAAATAAATTAGCCACAAACTGCATAAAAGAAGATGCAATCTCCTGTTTTCCCCTCTGTTTTCCCTGCTGTTTGCCAAACAGCGTTACTGCATTTATCTCAGTGAGAACAATGACCTCAGCTCTCATTCTCTACATTAGTAGATTAATTAGCACAAAAGAAGAATTTGTAATAATTTTTCTAGCATGCCTCATCTCTAATTTTTCCTGCTCTTGTTTGGTGGCATCTGCTTATGGAGATGATGCTCTGAACAGCCATGGTCCAATGCTCACTGAAGCCACACTGGCCACACTTGGTGACACTTATGTGGATCTACTCCTCCCTGAGTGCACGGAACAATATAATCATCAATTTCCTCATCTATTCCTCTGCTTTTAAGGGTTCTCCATGCACCAGAAAACAGGATTTGGCCTCGTGTGTGTAGAATAAACAGTAAGTTGTCAGAGTAGAGTGAGCTGAGTATGCAGTGACAACCACAAATCTGGCTTCCTTTGGTTTTCTTGGCTTCCATCCAGCCCTTAACATTATTAATTGAGCACAGATTGGGGTTTTTTTGTTGTTAATTTCCTTCACTTTTAGCTTTCTTAAGGAGTATGAAATCTGTTATTTGCATCACATGGTACACACCTGTGTGCCAGTAATGGTTGAGATAGTCAGCGAACTCAGAAAATAGGGAGTGTCTGGACTAGAGCACAAGTCCCCTAAATAAAATAAATGCTTCAGATCCTTCATTAAAATTAAGTACATTCTAATAGATGTATCAGATACATCCCTTTTATACAGGATCAGTGATAAAATAGAGATGTCAATGATTCCTGGAGAGGATGGCATTTTATTGTGCTGATCTATATTTAGACATCCTTAATTTAGGATTTGTTAAATGATATACAGGATAGATCCCAGCTCCATTGCATATAACACACTAATCCATTATTGCAAAAGGCACACATAAGAAACTTCTAAAATACTTCACAGAGCCTTTTTTCACATCCACTGGAGTAATCAGGAATAGCAGTTATTTGATACTGACGCTGGTACCTCTGTGCAAACACTCATTACTGAAGTACAAATGCTCTGTGGCACAATAAGCTCTACACTCCTCTTGTATGACTTTAATATCACTGACAATTTAGGATCATCTTCTAGAGAATCTCATCTACCACACAAATGTCTGCAGGGCAACTTAACATTGCTTTTGGCAATGTTCTTGAACCTCCTGTTCACCACGTAATTTCAAGTCGGATACACACAGTTCTTTTGCAATGGGCATTATTTAGAAATCAAATGTGATCTGTTTTATAAAACGTACCATCACTGTCCCTCTGATGTACTGATGCGTCATCTTCAATGTAAGTGAATTCTCTGCATTTCTCCAGGGAAGCAATGGATGATCTGCTCGCATCTGACAATTTCTTCTCATTTTTGGTGCCCTTTGATGAAGCGTCTGTGATGCTGAATTCTGCGACAGAACTCATAACAATACCTTTCATAGGCTTTTCATCTGTGTGTTTTTCATTTGTAAGCTGGTTGTCTGGTGGGATTAGGAAAAAAAAAATAGACTGCGATACCAAGACAGAGATCTGAAAGAATAACATATGCAGAATTTCCAAGCCTACAGTTGTTTACTTCCAAGGCCTAACCCTTCTTACCTAATGATTTCAGTCTCTTTACAGAGGTCTATTCATAGTATAGGTATTTGTGAACTTGCCTTCTAAGGTTTTGTCTTAAACCCAGTGGACTTAGAAGCTAAGTAATAATTTACATCCACTGGGTGGGATCGGGTTTTGAGAGAGAACAGAACTATTGCCTCAGTTATCATCTATTTTGAGTATCCTATCCTAACTTCAATTTGTGATATAAAAGAATGTAAAACGATTAACTTGTTATTTTTCAACAGCAACTCTCTTTCCCTAAATTTACAGCCAACAATGTACACATAGGGGGTACCTTGATGCAGATGTGCCAGCTCACCATGGCTCATAATCTTGTAGCAAAGAAAGCCAGGTGGTCTCTGTTTAACATCCAGATTCCTTATTTCATAACTTCATCCCCACTTGTGTTGTTGGCCTGGAAGTCAGCTAGGAGATGGGATACTTCACATGCTGTCAGCGTGCCAGAGAGGCAGCTCAAAAACCAGAGGGAGAGCTTAATTTTAAGCCCCAACTAGGGGAAAGGTTAAGAAGAGTTCTGAGTTCAATTTATTCTTGAAGAACTTCTCAGGCACAGATAAACATGGGTTGATATATAGTTTCACTCACTCTCTGAAGTGATCAAGAGGCCAAGAAACACAGTCATTCTCTCTATGGCGGGGATGATAAAACCTCATCAGTTCTTATCTACAGCTGATTAACTCCTGCCCCTCACATCAAGCACAGCGTCACTTTTTATCTTACTTAAATCTTGTGATACGCTTGCTCTTGAGCTACATACAGAAAATCAATCTTTACAAACAACTCAGCTTTGCAAATACTACTTTCTGAGAGGAACAGTAAGTGCTTTAAAGTGGTTAGTTTGCACTTGGCTGCAAGGACCCCGAAGAGAGACTTTGCATATCTCTTGTTTTTCAGGCACCTTTGACCTCCGACATATATTAAAGAAAAGCCAAGGAAAGGCTGGCAGAGAGTGAAACCTTGGTGAGACTGCAGTTGTTCCACTGGTATCCTTGCAGCCAAGAGGAGGAAATGTGGATGGAATGGATGAATTACAAGGTAAGTGAAAAACCACTGGGTCCATAAGGCTTGAAATGGGGACAAGCAAGGATTTGAGGTCTAAGTGGTGCCTGGAGCAAGTCCAGTGAAGGCCACTGAAGATGTGAAGGGTCTGGAAGAACTTCTGTATGAGCAGAGGCTGAGGGAGCTGGGCTTTGTTGTCCTGGAGAAGAGAAGGCAAAGAACAGTACTGGATGCTGTGTTCTACTTCATAGCCAGGGTACTGGAGAAGCCAGACCTCAGCTCATCCCAGCAGTGCACAGAGGCAAAAGGACAAGAGGCCACTGTCACAAGCTGCAGCAAGGGCAATTGGGATTGCACAGGGAACAAATTCCTCATCATGGGAGGTGTAAAGCACCAGAGCAGTCCCCAGAAAAGACAGGGAAGTGTGTAAAGCTCGGCTGGGCATGGGCTCCAGCAACCTGCTCTTACTGCAGTTAACAATGGTTTGTGGCACAAGCAGATGAGCTGACTTCTAGAATTCCCTTCTGAGCTCGTTCTTCTGGGATTTCTATGATTCTATTTATGCATAGAATGAGTGAGCAATTAATTTAAATTTCTGCTCACTGTCTCATTGTAAATTTCATGCCATTTTAGGTCATTTTTGTGTGGTGAAATATGTAGAAAGGTAAAGGTTAGTAGAGTAAGACCTTGGGAGAGGATATGCAGAAATACTAAGCTATCATTTTAATTTTCATTTTACATTTAAATCACTGCTTTAAAATTGTGTGTTGGCAGATGTATTGGCTTGATTTTGAACTTGTAATAATGACATCTACTATGAAGGAAATGTGGAATTACCCTGTCCTGGAGAGCTTACAGGTTGGCCTTAGACAGGGAGAGAACAATGGGATGGAGAGAAGTAGAGGAAAAGAGACAGTAAGATAGCAGTGGCACAGAGAGGAGTCTGAGAAACCTATAACTGTCAGGTTTTGTGAGTGTTATGATGAAGGAAAGCCACAGGCAAGACTTGGGAAGGGCAGGAGAGGTGGTGGCTCCACTGGGTGTGACCCAGCGGTGCAAAGCACAGCACTTCTCCCCTGCAGACTGTGCCCTTGGTCGTAGGAAACCAGCATGCCAGGCTGTGCATATCTGGTTTTGCCCATCTGTGGGGATTTGTTGATGGTTTTCCCATCAGAGTAAGTAAATATAGCTCTCTTTTTTCCCTCTCTGTCTTCTTGGCCGGCCTCTTCAGTCCAAAATGTGAAAACTCATGCATTTTGGATGTACTTACACGTGCAGTAATCACTGCTTTCCAGTGTTTATAAATCAGTGACACACCACAAGTTTTCCTGCACTTTCATTCAATAACAAACCATCTCCAGGAAAAGTTGTGCTAATTGAAGCAGCAGAGCTCTAGAGGAAGCAATGTCCTGCTTTTGCATTGGATTTATTGGATAATAATTGATTTGTGAGTCCAAAAGACACATGCCCCACCTGCTATTCAGGTGCCAATCTTACACATGGATCCTGTTTTTCCAGACTGAGAGCTACACACAAGCTGAGCACACACGGATCAGATCCAAAGGCGTAGGCAAGAAAGACTATAATTTTCCACTTTCATAATTGGCCCAAAAATCCAAACTAGATATGTTTTACTTCACAATATATCTGTTGACTTCCCCAGTTCTGCAACAACACAATGGCCCATGGAATGCATTTAAGCATTCAACAAGCGAGACAGAAAAAAAATCAGACAGAAGTAATCAGTAAATGCCAGACTAACATTTACTGTATCCACCGACTTCTACTATTCATACTTTGAGTCAATTTTTATTCTTGAAGTGCTGTTGAAGAGAAATCAAAACCAGAAATAGAAAGGCATAGACATAACCTGAATTTTTCAATACAGCACCATCAAACAAAAGGATAACAAAAGCTGTCACTCAAGGACTCTTCTGTTTGTTAAAGCATACTACATCTTGGAAAATACAGTACATTTTAGTGTCAGACTCTTAGTTTGAAAAGCTCCCTTTCAGTAATGTTATACTTGTCTTGTACAGCTAGATCAAGTCTTCATGCAATCACCGTAACAAGCAACTTGCTATGACAAGTGAGATCCTTGCTTCCAGAAAACACTGCGGGAGAGGCTAAAGCACTGTACAATTATAGGTCTCCATTTCATTTGTATGCAATTACCTTCAGTTCAGCTGTGGGTCCATCTACATTATGTCTTTTATCAATTTAATGTTTGCACAAAGTGTCTGAAGAAATAAAGATTATGCTAGACCAGCATAAAAAAAAAAGGTGGTTAGCACTTTTTCCCCCCCCCATTATAGTTTGTTGCTGGATGGAACAGTAGTAGGTTGAGAGTTTGGGACAAATAAGTACAGCCAAATAAACTTTAAAAATATATACAAATGATATTATTTATGATTACTGCTAATTGAGAATATAAAAAATTAAATTACAATGAAAGATGGGCAGAGGGTCAAGCTTTGCTGCTTCTTTTACGAGCTTGTGTTCAGCTTCAGCTGTCTGCAAATTTCTGTGTTTTTAACATGTAGAAATCATCCACTGAAGTGAATTTAAAAGAAAAATAAATGCATCACGATGAAGAAATCTCAGACTATTCAGTGTTAGACTGTTAGGCAGAGGCAGCTAAAGGTACACCCCCACAATGTGCCATTTTTAAATAGTATCATGAAGTAGCAACTTTCTTCCTCATATGGGGAAGCTGGGACTCGCCTTGGCTGTTGCAGTAGAAGACTGGGATTGTTCACCCATGTTTGTAATAAAGATATAGTCTCAATACTCACCAGTGTCTAAATTCATGAAAGCACAAAGTAAATCACTTATTTTCCACTGAAGCCAGTCCCAGATCCCTCTGGTTAACAGGGAGGAGCAGTGATACCAAGACTGGCATTTGCAGGAGGTCCCCTGACTTCTATTTTTCTTCATGGGCTTTGGACACAAACCAGTGTCTTGCAGTCCTGGAGAACAGGAGGCTGGGGTTTCCTAGCATGCTTTTGAAATTAGATTTTCTATAGAGGCGTATAAAGAGTCTGTTTTTGATAAGGGACAGGGGGAATAAGGGGTGCTCTGTTCTGCTGGATAGGGACTGTAGCAATGTGTCTAATCCAAATAGCTCTTGGAGCAACTGGTTAGGGGGAGATGCCACTGAAAGAGAAGGAGAATTGATCTATCACCATTGTGGGGCTCCTCCACGTCTTACAAGCAAAGGACAAGGGAGCCTGTGGCTCTACCAGCCAGTGGGATTTGCTCCCAATCCACCCTGGCAGTGGCCCTTTGCCTCACACCCCTATGGCAAGGAGTCCCAAGGGTTAATGCTAAACTGTGTGGAAAACTCTAGCAGTTTAGGACATGTAGCTTTTTAATTTCACCATGAGGCATCTTGGTGTATCAGTGCAGCAGAAGAACCAAAGGAATGCCTGGCTGCTACCTCTGCCATTTGTTATCCCATGCACTGCTGTCACTACCTGTCTCTTTAATATACCACATGCTCATCACTGGAAGAGCTGTGTGCCATGTCCACTCAAGCCCGAGATGAAGCAGGCAGAGCTACATCAGACCTGATGGATGATAACTTGTAAGTATAATGGCTTGATCTGAACTCACTGGGTTTGAAAAGACTCATAGTAAAATGAAACCCAAACCTCAGATTTTGATGGGCAGGTTTAAAAAAAGAAAAAGTAAGAAGAAAAACAAAATACTTTTTCTTGCTAGTTTAAAGGACATTATTGTCTTCCAGCAGCAATGGGAGGGAATGCCAGGGGTCTCTCTGCACAATGTGACACATGCACAGAGCCAGTAGCTTACCTGGATGGTCCTCACTGCTCGGTGTCACCCCAGGGAGTGCCAGGAGAGGCAGGGAGCTGGTACGGCGGTCTTGGTGGGAGAAAAGAACAAAATTGCAGAGGGATAAATGTAAATAAACGTGTTTTGGCACAGCTATCAACCTCAGCCACTCAGTGACAGTCACTGACTTCAGGAGTTGGTGTTTTGAAGTCAAACAGAAGCAAGTGTGCTTCCTTGCAGGGGGAGATTACATGAGATGGTGCACTGTTTCTGCTACCCTCTGTGTCATTTCTGGAAAGGAAGACAAATTAAAATTGCTAAGAGAGAAAGTTTCATCTGAGAAGAGGTGAAGAGGATCACCAGCAAACACAACAGTTCAGGTAGGAATAGAAAATTTGAGTGCTGGGAGGTATGCGATGAAATGTGGGGCATCATCCACACCCAAACACCACAGAAGCCTTACATGAGATTCCAAAATCATCAACAAATGAGGAGAGAGCAAATTTCAGCCTATGCTCCAACCTCCATGGCTTAGCAGTCTTGGTGGACAAAATGCCCAAGGTCCCCATGGTGGCAAGCCCAGGTGCCCACATGGGTGCTGAGCTCCTCCACCTGGGCTGCCCTTGCCACACCACGCACTCCATGCCTCGGGCTTGGAGGCTTAAACCTTCTCTCCTACTCTCTCCAAGTGTCAGGGAGGCAAAGTAGGAGAGGGTGTGGGACTATCCCTATGGTGAGTGCAGCAGACGGAGCAAACTCCATGGGAACTGCTCTTATCCACGTGGGAGAGGCCGGAGGGAGAGCGGGCGCCACAGCCGCCCAGCAGTGAGCGGCTCCAGACCAATATATCACGGGTGCTTTCATAGTTCCGTGCCCATTACATTTTGCTGAGCTCAGGCACAAGGATGCAGGGGATTTAGAGACTGTTTATTTTTGTCGTAAGGAAACAGGAAATAGTACACAAGGCTATAAATATATCTTGGGCTTCATATGACATCATGAACTCGCGCAAGTGCTTCGCTTCTGATTTACGATGATGGACTGGTAATTCACAGGAGCTTTGGGTTTACTTTATTTTGCTGTTGCAGTAACAAAGCTAATGGTGCAATCCCGGGAGGGGGTATTTTATCAATAGTGAATTTTTGACCTCATTGCATACGTTTTAACTTCATGAATTAGTGACCCAGCTAACTGTAAAGCCTTCTATAGGCTTATTATAAATCTATCACAGGACTGGCAAAAACTTTTGGCCCAGATCCTAAGCTCTGACAGGCATGTGTTGATGGACTGCATAGCAAGCACTTCCACTAATATTTCTCACTAATTATACCATATATTAAGAAAAAATGAATGAAGCCAATGTTTATATGCAGCTTTAACTGCTTTTCATATAAGAAAGCAACACAATCCCTAATAAATTTTCACCTTCAACATTTCTATTCATTATAATTTTTACCATGATGAATGAAGTTAGAACTGGAGAGGGAGGGGGTTCATCTTGAAATCTGTTCAGTGAATGACTGAATTTACTTCCCTTCCCCAACTTGTGTCGAGGAAGGAGGGAACAGATGGACACAGGAAGAAGAGGGAGGCGAGTACGGAACGAAGGAGATGGGTGAGGAACAGATGGAGTTGGGGGAAAGTGGAGAGGAGAGTCAGCAAGGATGGTAGGAAAGTTTTCCACTTGACCTTGAGTTGAAATGAAGATCTGCATACAGCATGGGACAGCTAGATTTTTGGGATTCATCTTTTTCTCTCTGTGGCACTTATGCTGCAAAGATTTTTGGGCCATCCCAGCAGCCCGGTCCATCCCAGGGGACCTGCAGAGCCAGGACTTAAATTTTTTCAAGGGGTCAGTTGCAGAAAGGCACCTGCACTGTGTTGAAGTTCCATAATGGTAATGGCAGGGGAGAAGTGTGTGCAAACAGGACCCAAAATCGTTTGGGATGTGATAAGTCTCCCAGGCATCCCAGATGCCAGAAATTGGAGCTTATGGCTTTGAAAGGGTATCCTACACCCAGTTTGTTAGGATCCAATGGCCAAAATACTGAGTAATTTATGATTTTACCTGCCTAAAGTAAGGCATTCGAGATGGCCTGATTTTCAGAATATGCTGAGCATCTGCGTTTTGAGGTGTATTGAATTATATATCCCAAATCACTAGTAAGTCCTGGAAAATCTTGATTATATTCTTAATTCTATTAAATTGCCTGCATATACTCGGTTGGTTCTGGCTTTGCTAGCTGAAGAATGGAAGAGGTGAAAGTTAAATATTGGCCATGTGTGTCATTCCCTTTGAAGAAAATGGGAGCCATGTGCACTCACCTAACAGCAATGTTTGGCCCCAACTATGATTTCACAGCTGGGCCCTAACTTCAGGAATGCCAAAGCACTAAATGACTCAATTGGAGTAATCTGATCAATGCTGTATTTTTGCTGTGGATTTAAATTGCACACACAGCAAGAGCAGAGTTAGTTTTCTTCTCTCTCAAAATCACTTTTCTCCGCAGATTTGATAGCATAAATATGAAGTATTGCTCTCATCACACAACTAAGTGAAATGGCAGAAAACGTATGTCAAATAAAATGCACAACATTACGTCCTTTTTAGTTTTTGGAGGCTGTTTAAGAAAACGGCTTCATTAATTTTGACTGAATAAAAGGTTCCTTTAAGGGATTTCAATAAGTGACATGAAAAATGTTAATACGAATGATCAAGACAATGGAGGTTAAAACTGTTTTGAAAATATGTTTCTTTTATAGATCTCAGCTGTTGGAAGAGTTACAGAATAAATATACGGTAGTGCTGACATTCAGTGCTGTTTCATCTTAGCAAAAGAGTTTTTAATAAAGAAAATTCTTTCCAAGGAATGCTTTCTGCAGCCAGTCTTCAAAAAGAGGTTTTCTCCCCTCCTAGTTTAATAAAAATTAAAGTAATTTATGTCATATTGATATGTCGATATGTTTTTCAATAAACTTTTTCACAGAGTGTTTTTTTTTAAATTCTCTTCACTTTAAAAATTATAATTATATGTCTTCCTCCCACTTTGAAAATGGCACAAGGTGCTCATTTGCAGAGCTCTACTGTTCAAATCTTCCCTGAGAATAGAAATGTCATGACTCAGTTAACAATGCTTTATTATTCACATTGATCTTTTTTTATAGTGTTCTTTATCTCAAAAACATTGTAAATCAGATATCTTCCTCCCACTCTTTTGTTCATTTGCAAATTTTTATTATTCTAGTTTAAAAAAGCAATGGAGTGTCAAGAGTCAGTGTATATTGTTTATGTTCTTTTTGCTTTAAAATTACTTTTAACTATAAAAAGTAAGATGTATAGCAGGGAAAAAAAAAGCTGGATTTAAGGATGCTTAAAAAAGAATTGAAGGAATCGGTGTGAATTTTATGCTGTTCACTTACACCTTGGAGTTGTAACGACTTTGCAAGAAGGGGGACCAAGCACTTCATGGAAAGGGTTTTATGTGCTAATTCAAAAGTCCCTGTTGCATCAGACATCATCATCCACAATGAACACTGGACATAATTCACCCCCTAAATGAACACAAGAGCAAAATTCACAACTGGTTTTGCCACGTGTTCCTTGGGTGGTTTCCAGGTGCCTGCCCAGAGCCCTGCACTCCCATTGCTCCCTGTCAGAGCCTGGCGTCAGGTCCCCGGGAGCCCTTGGCTGATAAACACCAAGATGAATCACGGAATTTTCACAGGAACCTCACAGTTTTGGTATAAAGTGTTAGCTACAGCAGAAACATAACCTCAGCTGGGCAACAGGCAAGGCAATCCCTGAAACCCATGGGTGCAGGATACAGACGTGCATCCTCCGGGAAAGCCACACTGGGGACCCCAGGCCTTGTTTCTAGATTGGATCTCCCAAATTCTCCTTCAGCCAATGTTTTCTTTCCCTATCATGTTTTCCTTTAGGTCTGTATTTCTGTCCTGGTTGTTGTGACTGTATGAAACAGCTTCCATGAAATAAATCCATTGCAGGAATTGGGGTTAGTCCAGAGAGCAGCAGGATCTGGTGATATTTCACGTGCTACTTGTTGTTAGATCATTTTTTTTTTCTTTTGCCTGTTTTGAATTTTCTGATCAGAACATCCTGGCACCCTGTTGTTATTCCAGCAGCTCTTGAAAGAGATCCTACTCTCGGGGAGTCTCTGAGGAGTGGTTGTTCGAAGTTTTCTTTAAGCCCCCAGATTGAATTTTTTTTTAATCTTATGGAATTGGAGAGTAGTTTGGGTTAGAAGGGACCTGAAAGACCATTTAGTTCCAATCACCCACCATGGGCAGGAACACTTTCCACTAGATCAAGTTGCTCCAAGCCCCATCCAACCTGGCCCTTGAACACTTCCAGGGATGGGGAGGATCTTGTAGGTGGTGTGGTGGCTCTATCATATGGAACAGCCATAAAAAGTTTTGTAAAGGAAACTAAAGTCTGCTTTCCATACTCTTTTGTTTCTTCTTTTTGTTTCAATGCTGCACTCTGCTGATATTTTACTAAAAGGGATAATTAAAACCTCAGAGCAGGTAAGTCTCAAACTGAACCTGAACTGAAAACACACAGCCCTGTCCTTCCCCTTTCAAGTGGAGGCCTTAGCAGCCTGTTCGCTTTTATTAGTGTCACCCCAGACACCACAGAGCCATCCCAGTCCTTATTCCCTCTTTGGGCTGTAGGGATTTGGGATGTACAGCACCCCACAGAGGCTGCAAGGACGCCCTGCACTGGGTGCTGGGGCAAGTCCATCCCAGAGCTCATGGGCAAGTGCTTGTTTTGCAGGGTTAACTCAAACCTCTCAAATTCTCTTTATTCTTCACTACAGAATGTGAAACTGGAGGTTTTGATGTATTGTCTTATGTGAATTGATCTTTTTTTCAAAGTAAAGAAAAAACAAACATTATTATCATTGTTATTGTTATTATTATTGTCCTTGCCTTGACAGCACTGCTGCATTAATTCTCTCTTCCTTCCTTCCTCTCATGGTTAATGACTCACCACACAATGAGGTTAAGATTCTGAAAATATGATCAAGTTTCAGAAACAAAATCCTAACCAGAGCAGAGTAGCCAGAAGT